CTGACCTGCCACATAAGGTTGCATATTTAAACTGCTGATCTCCTTAGATGTTATACAAACCCCAAGATTTGGAAAGAGAGTATATTTTGTTGTTTTAAAAAAAATCTGTGAAATGGTCAACGAAGCTTTGTTGTTCTGTATCATCAAGCTGTTGGCCAGCATTAGTTCTCTTGCGATTCAGGCTCTACAAGCATTTGGCCACATTTTTGCTTTACTGTTCTTTTGCAGGAGTCACCCAATGACAAAGCCAGAAAACGTCATGCTGGAGACAGAGGAGTCAATCAGTATTGAGGAACTGGGGAGTTTGAATGTAATCTCTTTCCTGGGATTGAACACAGCTGTCTCCTCCTCGCTGAATCACTATGTAAATGTCTCTGGTCCATATCTTCCCACCTCTGAGTCAGGCTAAACACTAAAGCAGAGGTGGTTACAGGCCGGAGTCCCGGAGGCAGTTCGTGTCATTCTGTCAACTCCTGCGACGTTGCTGAAACCAGTTGTATTGGCTCTTGCCTTTCCATTGGACTATTTCAGTGACGTGGAGAGGGGGGATTTGCTGGTTGGGTAACAGCCTATCCTCCATATTACTTTACCCAGGCTTCGTGCTCTGTAGAGGACACTCCAGCTTTGCATACAGCGTCAAAACACTAGACACTGTTCCAAACTGTTCCAAGTCCTCCATACAGAGCACGTCACCATAGTCTCTTGAGACTGAAGGATGCCTATGATGATGATACAGGCCAACTCTGGCAGGGCCACAGGAGGCTCAGCAATGGCCATTAAAAACAAAAACAGAGATGCCCAGATAGGCATTTGAGTTTTCAAGTTTGGTTTTCTAGGGTGGAACACCTTTGGAGAACTCCCCAGCCTCTCTAAAACAGAAACTGAGCACTTGAAAGCCTCCACAAATGGAAAACGGCATTTTGATATAGAATACTGTATATCAAAATGCCGTTGGAGACCTTTGGGTAGTGTGGGCTGCATATAAGTTAAATAAATAAATAAAATAAAGAAATATTTTCCTTTAATAGAGGAGCAGGGGCTGTGGGAGGAGCAAAAATGTCCCTAGGGGCCTCATGAAGGCAGGCCCACTCAACCTATCTGATCCTTCGGATCATGTGATTGTGCCATTCACCACATGATCTGAGGAGAGGATATTTCCTGGTACCTGCCCTTCTGTTGCCCCAGGGCTGGCATCTCACTCCACACAAAGGCTCCCCAGGGAGAGAGAGAGAGAGAGAGACAGACAGACAGACAGACAGACACATAATATCCCACTCCCAAAGGTCAAGGAAGACATTATTTATGAAGGGCTACAACACATATAAGGCAACCCATAAACAACTGGGAAACACTTTGTGAGACCTGCCCCCTTGGAGGTCAGGACCCCCAGCTTTGGAAGGACTGCTCTAGCAAGCAAGAGTCTGATGCCCATCACCCCAGGAACAGAGAAAAGCCAGCAGCTCCTGTGCATTCAGGGTCTGGGTGTGCCAGAGATGGAACCCCTGGATGGAGAATGCTTGAATAAGGAATCCGGGTCCTCTCCAGTCTGCAACAGCAATACCAAGAAAAGGCAAAGGCCAGTGAGATGAAATACAGAGGCTACAGAGACTCCGAAAGGATGCTGGTTCTACGAGCGTTCTTCTTATGAGGAGGGATCTCCAGAAAAGCAAGTGATTCCTCCCTCTTCCCCTCCCCCCCGAGTCAGTCCTTGCTCCCAGGTTGATGCCACAAGATATAGAGGGGCCTCAGGTGGAGATCCCAGCAACAGCCGCAGCCTATCAACACGTGGCTCCCAAAGGTTTAGCCTCAGGGCCAAACTGTTCACCAGAGCCTGAGCTTCTATTTGCCAAACTTTGCTGCCAGATTCCTTTTTTCGCCATGGCATGAATGAACCGGACCCTTTTATCATTAGGCTCTTGTGTTTCTCTCTCATCAGACTCTTTGTTATTTCTGCCAGCTAATTATCTTGGATTGTTGACCTCAGTCTGGTTAATCTCCTTTGGAGTAACACTACAGGTAGGATTTCTCTGGCTGCCTGCCCAGCCTATACACTCTCTTCTCCTTGAAGCCCTTATCGTGGTTGGCATCCTTTTATAACATCCACTGGCAGTTACAACTGGGAAGCAGGACAGAAAACAGCCACAGAAAGCTTCTGTAAACAGGGTAAGAATAGGGTTCTCCATAACCGTGATGTACAAGCAGGACTGTAGAGCATGACAAGGCAATGTGCCATCAAGGCAGAATTGATTTATAGAGACCCTAGCAGGTCCTTCAAGGAAAGTGAGCATTGTAAGGAGTGATTTTGACAGTTCTACACACCCCCAGTGAGTTTCCATGGCTAAGCAGGGATTCAAAACCCAGGGCTCCTGAGTCCCAGTCCATCACGCTATCGACTACAACACACTTGGAGGCCCAGTGCTGTATGGGATCCCCACAACCTATCAGCTGCACGGAAGACTCCTCCTCTAATGCCCTTTCTCATTAAGGACCCCTGAAGTGCCCCTCCGCCCCCAGAACTCATCCTAGAAGTCGGAGATTCTACAGAACAGACTAGGACGACCTACTCCTTATATACTAGACTTGGTAGATTAAAGCCCTTTGCAAGACTGTTAGAGCCCCCCTTCCAAAGACAACAAGTGCAAGAATTACTTTTCCTTTAAATCAATATCCCTATACCGGTCAAGTTAATGGTAACTAAATCCCATCGACACAAATGGAACAAGTTCATTGCAACCGATTTTGGCCCAGTAAGCTAAAACAGAGGCTGTCACACTCCAGGGACTCCAGAGCTGGTTCTATCCTAGAACCCACAACCATTCCAATGGAGAAAGGAGCCAAAGGAAAAATGCTTACCACATATTGCCTGGTTCCCATTCCTCACACGGGTATGTTCCCATCCAGGGCATTTGGAACATTTAGGGTTCCTGCCCAAGTCTCTTCCAATAACGGCAGCGGCTCCACTGCAATATCTAATGCCTAGGGGTGGATATTTCCCAACAATCTTTGGGAGGAAACCAGAGTCCCCCAAACAATGACCACAAAATGTTTCATTTTGTTCCTATTCAACCCATTTTAGAAAAATCATGTCCCTAATTTATACAAATGTTTGATTTATGCCCTACCTGTCCCCACAAACCAGGACCAAAGACGACTCTCAACAAAATTAACTTTAAAAGCACACATAAAAAAACAGGCATTACTTCATATGTGTATTAGTTCAAATAGAGTTAAAATGGGATCATCAAGACATGCAAGACATACAGGAAAGTACAAGATCATAATTAGGTCTGCAACTCTTTCACATGTCAGACAAGGTGTTGTGATGCACCCTTGAGTTACTAAGGGAAAGAAACAACTATCTTCAATCAAGATGCAAAAATGTTATTTATATTCACCTAAATCAAATTCTGGAGGAGAGCCTTAGGTCCTTTTGGGGAGAAAGGATGGGTAGAAATATTTTAAATAAATAAATACTCTGGACAGCCAGAAAGTTAAATTTTAAATTAGTCATTCATCAAATCAACCTGGACTTTCTCCTGAAGCAAAAAGGATGAAACTGAGGAACGTCCTACTTTGGGCACATTCTGAGAAAGCAAGATGAACTGGCAAAGACAATGATGCTGGGAAAAGCTGAAGGCAGCAGGAAAAGAGGAAGACCAAACATGGGATGGAGTGATTCCCTAAAGGAAGCCAGGGCCTTGAGTTTGCAAGAGCTGTGCAGAGCTGTTGAGGACAGGACCTTTCAGAAAGTCACTCATCCATAGGGTCACCATAAGCCAGAGCCAACCAAATCCCATTCTTAGCCCCACCTAGAGAAGATACTCTGACTCAATGAGAAGGTGGTAAATCAACACGTAAGCTCTATTTATTCAAACAGCCTACTCTAGTTGCTATTAACAAGTGGATTTAGGTCACCAACTTTAAAAGGTGTTAACTAGCAGCTTACGTCAACCAGGCAACTCCCCCTGGTTACAGAAATAGGTGACCCTTCTCTTCCGTTCTCTAGTGACTCCGAGAGCATGCCATCGGGATGCTGAAGGTCTACAGCAAGACAGTCGCTTTGCTATTACTCAGCTGCTGTTCAAGAGAGCTGAACAAAGCAACTGGTCAACAGCACCGGAGGGTGAAGATGCCAGTTCAAATCCTGCCACAGCCATAGGTTTATACTGGCCTCTAAAATGAACCTGAAATGCTTTGGAGCTATTCACTATCCTTACCAATCCTTTTCTTCTTCATATTGCTATGAACAACCGAACACTACAATGTTTAAGCAGAAAAGAAACAGAAGGAGCAGACCAAAGGCTCTTTTTTTAATAGCATAACTAACCGGATATTGCAGCTGCCCCTTTCTTGACACCTGCAGTATTTGATACAAAGGGCCAGAAATACCATCCTCTGAGGTATAAAACGGAAAGATATTGTTGCAAGGCCACCTGCTTTCCCCATTTACACATCATTTACACATCACACTGATTAGCAACTGGAAGTCATTGTCACATTCATTTAAGGAGCTGGTTCGCCATAATCACCAAAGGATTAAAACTCCAGAAGTTGCTAACTCTGCAGAAGACTCTTTCAATATCAGAACATTTCATTTCAGAGGAACACCCGACAGAAAGACTACACAATCCTAAATAAATTAGATAGGAAAAGTAAACACAGCAATCCCATGGAGGAAAATGAACACTTAACCAAACATATTAGACAAACGCTCCAAACTTGAAACACACTGTATATCCAGAACATATCATACAGAAAGTTGACTTATACTTGGATTAAGGAAAAGTGAAAATTGGTGGAAGAAAACGGTACTTTAAGAACAAACCATACTAATGGCACAAAGCAGCAACAACATGAAACAGCTAATGATGAAGGTAAAAGAAGGAAGTACAAAAGCAAGATTATAGTTGAACATTAAGACAAAAATAATGACTACGGAAGAATCACATTAACTTTATACTGACAGTGAAGAAACTGAAATTGTTAGAAATTTTCTGTACCTTGGTTCAATCAGCAACAAAAACAGACTTCAGCCAAGATATCAGAGGACTGAGACTTTGAAGGGCAGCTGTAAAGGAATCAGAAAAGATAATCAAGTGTAAGGTTATGTCACTGGAGACTAAGGCCACACTCACCCATACTGTAATCCCAGGGCCTATGTATGGAAGTGAAAATGATTTGTTCAAAACGTGGTGTTGAAGAGAGAACTTAACCAATACTACGGACACCAAAAAGACGAATATTAAGCGGGTCTTGGATCAAAACAAACCTGAACTTGTTCAAAAATGACAGAACTGAAACTAACATACTCTGGACATATCAGGACAAGATGCGAGTCACTGGAAAGGATAACACTGCTGAGAAAAGTGGAAGGCAATAGGAAGAGCAGAAAACCAAATATGAAATGGATTGATTTCAATGCAGGAAATTACGGTCTTTCATTTCTAAGATCTGAGTAAGGCTGATAACAACAGGACTTTTTGGTGGTCATTGGGGTCACTATAATTTAGAATATAATTTAATACCAGCAGTTAAGAACAATTCTGAAACATGAGCTTCATTCCATACATTTATTTTGTATATCGATCCTCTTTTTAAAAGCCTCAAAAGCTCACGGTTATGACATTTTTGATTTGGAAAATTGAAAGACTCCCTAGTCAGTACTGTTATGGGCCAACAAATCTGAGCAAATTTATAGCAAACCTAACAATGCTTTCAAAGTAAGTACAGTACAATATTTAAGGAGTGGCTTTGCCAGTTCCTTTCCTCCAGGAAGCTTCCATGGCTGAGTGAGGATTTAAACTCAGGCCTCCTGAGTCCTAGCCCATCACTCTACGTATGTGTAGCCTGCATAATTAAACTGTAAACTGCTTTTAGCACTACAGGGCACTGCATAACCAGCACTCTATCCACTACACCCTACTGGGTATCAGGAGCCTTGCAGTGCAGTGGTTAAGCTGCTGTATTGCAATCAAGACTCTGCTCAAGACCCGAGTTTGAACCCAACGGGCTCAGATAACTGGCTTAAGGTTTTCCACCCTTCCGAGATCTATAAACGGAGTACCCAACTCATTGGGAGAAGGGGAATGTGTAGCTTGTATAATTAATATTGTAAAACACACAGAGAATGCTTTAAGCACAATGAGGCAGTATATAAGCAGCACATTTTGCTCTGCTTTAGTTAGCATAAAGGTAAAGGTTCCCCTTGATGTTTAGTCCAGTCGTGTCCGCCTCTAGGGGGCGGTGCTCATCCCCGTTTCCAAGCCGTAGAGCCAGCATTTGTCTGAAGACCGTTTCCGTGGTCACGTGGCCAGCACAACTAGACACGGAACGCCGTGACCTTCCCACCAAGGTGGTACCTATTTATCTACTCGCATTTTTACATGCTTTCAAACAGCTAGATGTCCTATCCTAGACTTAATCAGGCTTTCAGCTGCAGGGAAGAAAAATGGTCTTACTGCTGCTATCCTTAATATGCTAGATGTTTTGTGAGCTAAACAACTGGGTCAAAATTCTTCACATTTATCTGAACAAATAAATAAAAAGCAGCAAGCTCAACACAAGATCATAAAGTTTAGCAATCAAAAGGGGCTCTGAACAGTCTAGTGGCCATGAAGCAGAGCGAATGCTTTGTCTTGTAGAATCTGGCTTGGAGAGACACATAATAATACACCATCAAGTTCACCCGAGAAAGGTGTCTTGTGCCCTAACACCAGCATATACAGAATGAATTTGCCTTAGTCGAACACACTACCAAACTGTGTTATCAGCAGCAATAGGTTATGGATCAGAGGGAAACGAGGGAAAAGGCAAGAGTGCCCATTAATAAAATTTGCTTCCATTGAGTTGGCCTCCCTCAAAATAATGGAAAGTACAAACTTCTCACAGAGCATGGGGTGAACTCCAATTAAGTCCTCCTGCTGGCTGAATTGCTTCCACCAAAACCATGGTGAGGTGGCAACTCCTCCTTCCTCTGCCTCCCACTATACACCCCTAAATCTGCTCCAGTTCTCTGCAGATCCTCTGCAGTACATTCTGAGAAGATACTATTGAGGCAACAGAAAGGAACAGAAGGGGAAACTGCTGTTTTCAACCAAAGAGATGATTTAGTACACTGGTTCCCAACCTGGGGTCTCCACATGTTATTGGACTACAACTCCCAAAAATCCTGGCCAGCATTGCTAATGGTGAAGGCTTTGGGGATTTTGAGTCCAAGAACATCTGGAGACCCAAGGTTGGGAATCACTGATTAAGTATAGCTAATAAGTACGCCGCCCAGAAGCCACTGGTAATGGTGCGGCTAAAAAATATTGTAAATAAATAAATAAATACAACAGTAGAAAACACATAGGGATGCCATGAACAGACTTTCTTACCACCAAGGAGAGTTAAAAAGGAATATAGGAAAGTACATTTTAATTTAATTGTTTCATTTAGATTAATAAATTCCTAATTAATTTAGGAAACTAAACATTTTTGTTTAATTGTTTAATTTAGTTTAATAAATGAATGTGCATTATGCAAGAACAGAATATCAAGTGGCTCTACTGTATAGTGAAAAGACTTGAGTTGCCTGCCTCACATAGATAGTCATCCTTGGCTGTTTACTCACAAGCACAAAGCCTGTAGCAGTTTAACACCTAAACTGATTCAATGAGATGCCATGTGCTACTCCTTTCAGCAGCTGCCTCATTCATCAGTCATCACACTCTCACTTGATTCAAAACAGGAGGGAGCTCTTTAATGGGTTCAAGCACACAGATGCATGCACCCATGCACATGTGTGATCAACGGGTCAGAAATAACTGTAACATATACAGCCCTAATGGGAACAGAAGAAGAGCAACCCTAATTGCTCCCCCTTGGACCTTTGATAAGCATGTGCTGACAAAATGATTTGGAGATACTGTATAATTCTCTAAAGTACTCAGGGTTAGCTTCCCAGCTCTTTCTTCCAATACTGCTGCTGCGGGACCCAAGGGCATTCCGAGCGGAAGGACGCATAACCCCATGGACGACACATGTTCCAGGTGATCTCGCCTTGTCTCTTTCTCAGAAGGCACAATTGAGATTCACATTCCCAGCCACCACTGGCTTCAACCCACTGAACGATACTAGTACCTTTACAGAAAACATTTTCGCATAGGTCACTAGTTTAAGGCTAACCCAACTACAGCTGGCTCTGTGGAAAGCTTGACTTACAACCCTTTACAACTTGCATCATAACAAACCATGATCATGAGAAGCTTTTTCCTACAGTTAAAAAGAAAAAAAGCATTTCTAAGGGAGGTCCTAAGGTAAAGTGCTCCCAGGCATGTGCAGAACGCTTTTCCTTTGTCAGGAGAATCCTTACTTGCTTTCTTGAAGCATAATATCCAGTGTCTCAAACCTAGCTCACCAGTTGAGGGCCTCAGATGCTGCACTCTCCAAGGCAGATAGTGGGATGAACTGGGATGGCTGGCACGGGATCTAAGCTCAGAGATCTGAGTTCTAGTCTGTGCCTCCAGGCTCAACCATGTGCAGTTGAGAGACCTTCAAAAATTCTAGCGTCACCAACTGTAATCTACAGAACAGTACCACCCATCTCAAATGTTCTTTTCCTAGACCTTCAACTTTATGAAGCACCACAATGCACAAGTATTTATGTTCACTGTGAACATATGCCTAGTTCATTGAGAACACATCTTAACTACATACGTAGGCACTAAATGATTATTCACATGAATTTTCATCATAAAAGGGGGGGACCCGAATTTAGCCTGGCTCTTCATTTCTCAACCACAGCCATTACTTTAAAAGTTCTGATGAGGGCTGCTAAAGACAACACCTCAGGGAGGTCATTAATTCTTAGGGTCATATTCTCTCAAAGGTGAGTTGATGGCACAGAACAACAGCTCCAGCTCCGAGTTCTAGCAAGCAGTGAAGACAATAACATTCTGCTTTGTTGTTGGCCCTAACTTGCCACTCCTGTGGTACGGAAACATACCAGCAGCTGCGGCACAAAAGCAGTCACAAGGCCATGTGGTTTTTATATGGAACGTCAACACCTGGAGCTTGCTCAGCGGGTAGCCCTGACTCATATTCCGGGACATTCCCAACCCAGTCTGATTTCTGAAGTTTAGGAAGGCCAAGCCTAGTTAGTGAAGCAGGAAACACAGGGATCTCCAAGCAGGGTTAGAATAGAATCCTGCACGAAACTCTGGGGGATTACTACCAAAAGATGCCCCGCCCATCTTGAACAACAGACGCCATAGTGTGCAGAAGCACCCATTGAATGCTAACCTGCTCCTCCTCTCTAGGGGTTCCCATCCATGTTTGTGGGACTTAGTATATATTCCTACGCAGGAATGACTGATAAGGGATGCCCAAGAACAAGTGGCAACAGGATGTTCAACAGGCACCAGCTCAGCCTTCAAAGCCAATCCTTTCTCGTTCACTTAGTCAGCTGCCTCTTCTCCATCAACAACCAATATCAGATGCAGAGGATGATGTAAGAATTCCAGTAATGGACAACTGTGGGGCAGTGTGCCCACGTAACAAGTTCCTGCATAATCCTTTCAAAGACTGAGACAGACCATGGGCCTCCAGTATGTCAAACACAGCTGCCCAGTTCCCGCCAGGGTGGGTTCTATGGCACCATCAGAGCAGTGTGCTTCAGCGTCTCTACCGGCTGCCTCCAGGAGGAGAGTCTTAGTACCAGATCATGTGTGACTTGGGACAGACATGCTGAAGGAAATTACTCTTCCCTATGTGTGCTATGCAGTTTCCCCAATATCAACCCAGAATATCTTATTTCATTTTTAAATGTTATGCTTTGCCTCATCCTTGACGCAGGTGATTAACACAAGATGCCACTTGGTAAAGTGTCATTCATCTGAAAGCAAGAAAAACGAGAACATACAAAAAAAAAATCATTACGATCTCAGCAGGAGTATTATTGAAAGTCCCACCAGCTAACACAAGATGCCACTCGGTAAAGTGTCATTCATCTGAAAGCAAGCAAAAGGAGAACATACAAAAAAAATCATTAAGATCCCAGCAGGAGTATTATTGAAAGTCCCACCAGGA